GCTATCATCTTCCGATTCATCGTCGTTGACGTTACCAATGTGGATTATCATTTCATGACCATGATCATCGTCCAAGATTCTTTCTTTATTGTACCATTCCTCTATAATTTTTGCTGTGCTATTTTTGACTTCCATGATTCTGGAGTAACTTTTTGTAATGCCCGTTCCCATATAGTAAGCACTTTATCATTGCCATATGGCAATGTAGCCATCTTCGCCAATATGTTTATTATAATAATCCTTTGCATCGGCCCATACCATTTCAATTGCGTTAAATTGACAATGGTACGGAGGCAATCTTAAAGCTTCATGTCCATTTTCTTGTAGCAATTCATCAACCTTATATCGTATTGGTTTTTTATGTTTCTTGGCTAAATTTAAAAGTTGTACTTTGAACATATCATTATTTAATGGTATATTATTTTCTTCCAACCATTCCTTAATTTTGTTTGTAGTCCATGAAACCGTTGGTTGTTTTTCCATTAAGACGCTATGGTAAGACGCGTTGTCCATTATAATTAGAGAAGGTTCCTGTAAATTTGGGATGAATTGTTCTTGCAACCATTTCAAAAATATTTCTGAGTTCATATCACCATGATAATCCGCCAGTTTGGACCTCGTGGAGTAAACCAATCATCGCGAATAAAACCTTACCAGCATGCAACACAATGAAACGTTTTCCATCATAACCTTCTGGTTTGCGTACACTTTTTGTGGATGAGTGTTGCCAGGATTTTGTATGGCTTCCTTTAGCAAATATCCAAGTTTCATTTAAATTTAAATACGCAAATTATGGAGAATATTAAAAAATTCAAGTACACCAATGATGACAGGCTGTCAAAGTCTTGTAGACATTTGTGCATTTAGCTATCTTTGTCGATCCCATTATTATAAAAATATAAACATAAAGAACGTATGTTGTGGTATTATTAGACATACGTTTATCTATCGCTATATGCTACGTCCCAGTGGTCCTGCGGCGTGGAAATACAATACGAATGTCTGAGCTATATCCTTACATATGTCACGTGAGGGTCATGATTAAAAAACCAAACTATACAGTTTTTTTCATTATTTCAGCTGCAGATGTACTATATAATATTGCTAGAGACATGAATAAACCAAAGCCGCCATTGAAACATCGAATTTATAAAATTTAATGTGAATAATATTTTTGATGCTTTATTTAATTTATAGGTACTTATTTAAAATTAAAATAAAATAAATAGTAACTTCTTGTTTATTATTATAATACATATATTAAGTTTTTCTTTTTCTTCTAAAATTTTTATTTCGAAAGAGTCGTTTCTTTTACATCCTTTTTATTGTTAATTTCCTGCTCTAATTGTTTCAGCCTTATCTGTCTCTTTGTTTTCAATGATACCCTTGTATCCACAAGATTAATTTGAGGAGCGCCCCCTTTTTTTTCAGGTTCTGTATCCATATTATTCTCTCTTGCCATCAACTGAATCGGTCGTACATGAAATAGAATCGAACAACAGATGATAAAGATCTTTATTATCTTTATTATCGAATCGAACCCATAGATAATAAATCATATATCATCAATATAATCACAGATTATAAAGAATCAAACTCTTAACGTCAAAATATATTTGCGTCACAAATAAGTGTGAAGTTAGTTATTAGCACCAATCTTTTCCATTTTTTAGTCAAATTCCCTAGATCACTAGTTAAATTTTAAACCATAGTTAAAAAATCACGGTGCAAGATTTTGTACACTAATCCCCTGTTACCTTTTAACTTGGCAGTTAATTTAACTGATCAGTTAGAGAAAACGGTGCAAGTGGTCATAAATACAACAAATATGTTTCCCTTAGACCTACCCACACTCCCCATAATCACCTATACATTTATTATAAAAATAATAAATGCACAGTAAAACAGATTGAAAAAAATTCATTTAGCAAAATTTCAAGAAAAATTCACTTTTTTTAATCTGCCCAAACCTTATACATACATACACAGGGCATTCCTTCCGTCGTAGTTCTGCAACCTTACTAGCTAACGCTGAGAGTGATTTGCTGACACTTAAAAAACATGGGGGTTGGCGGTATTCTGCAGTTGCAGAAGGCTTTATTGATGACTGCTTAGCTAATAAGATTAACATTTCACAAACCAAGAACACCAGCCTAGTACTGGCAGAAATAACACAATTGAAGTGTTAAATATTTCTAATCAACTAAATAAAATACTAGTTTATACAGATAATTCTAATGAAACATCAACTTCATCTGTAGAAATAAGCCTTTAAATTCTGGTATTACTATCCACAATTATTGTGCTTAAGGTATAATTAACATTAATTACAATAATAAATAAATTCGTAAATTGTTACTAAAGTTTTTTTATAAAATTCAGATTATACTTGTACATATTTATAAAATTAAAAAAAAATTGTTTGATGCTAGGCGAAAAACATATGTGTCACATTCAGAATACTCATTAGCAGCCCTTAGAGCTATCAACTGCATTTAATAGCCGCGGGCTGCTAAAGCTAGTTTTCTGCCCTTGAGACACAATATACTATAAAAGCTTAGAAATAGATCTTTACCGTTGTCAATATTATTTCTATTGTCAAAAGTCAAAACAGATAATTAAAATAATTATTAAAAAAGATTACTTAAGCCACAAAAAGAAAACATGGCAAGATTGCTCGGGAGGCGCTTGTTGCGCATATTCCTATATGAGTTTCACTCCATTATCTTTGTTTCACCCCCCTGGTTTAACCTATTAAATTCATAGTTCTCGTGATATAATAGTATATTATGTATCAAGTTTTATAAACGCCATTTTAGTTACGAGTTTTATTCGGCACGAGCGAAGCTTGCGAGCGAGTGTTTAATAAAAACGAGTATCTGGATAAGTTTATATTTTATCTACGACAAACACAAAGAAGAATTTAAAGCCAATTTAACGTAACGTAACATTAACCAAAATGTTATGCAACGATCGTAATATGTAACATTACAGTTACATAAACTGACGGTTGCAAATAGGTTCCCATTTCCCGCATTGTTACATAACAATGATACTTTGCCGTTACATTGTTATGTAACAATGCGGGACATAACATGGCCTTTACGGTTATGTAACATTGCTACTTTGCAACGTTATTATGCTCGACATGAGAAAGCCCCGTCAGTTGAACGCTAAAGCGTATCAAATGATACATAATATCGTATTCTGACTTTCCCCTAATCAGGCATACTGTTTGAGGTCCAATGATAAATGGACATGGTGCGCTGTCTTAACTTCGTTTATATACCTAATTGAGGTGGTAACACGGCAATACTGTGTTACGTTAAATGTTGACCGGGCGTCTATGTAATATAGAATGAATAATATTTATCAGCACGAGATATGCTTGAACTTGACTGCGAATACTTCAGAGAGGTATTAAGAAACTTAACCCGTTGAGAAGTATTCAGCACCTTAAATTTGGTGTATCAGATTTCTATTTATCACAAAATATTCAATGACTATGAACGTAAAAACGTCGACAAAGTATAAGAGCCGAAAAGTATTCGGACACATGAGCTGCGAATATAAAAGGTCAAATCTTGAATAGAACCAGATTCATGTCCAAAGAACTTGAATTTTTTCATTTGCAGTGTAGTGTCATGTGTTGAATTATCGAACCCCCTAAAACATTTTTTTTTCGATTCTAATAAGCAATTTTATTTGATTTGATTTATTTTGTCTCGTGACGTTATAAAAGGCCCTCCTCCTCGGGCGTTAAAAATCGTGACGGTCTCACAAACCCTTCCTTCCCCCTACAAGCGTCACGAGATTTATAAGGGCCAAGTACTGAGTACTTTTACTCGTATTTTAATTACGAGTAAAAAAGTACGAGTACTTTTTATTAGTGGCTGCTTTTTCGCTATGACATTTTTGACTAATCCATTTTTAGAGAGTAAAGAATAAACAGTTATATTAACTAACATTTTTTCTTCAAAAGTACTCGTACTCTTTACTCGTGTTTTAACGATTACTACTCGTAACCGTAACCTCTCTTTACAAATGTACTTACGAGTAAATATTTTAAGTACTCGTACTTAAAATTTTACGAATACTTTTTTTAGTAGTCGTGCCCAGCTCTGCCTATAGGGCATATATGCTTCACATTCAAAAGTCTCGCTTTGACATTTACATAAAAATAATTAAACAATTAAACTGTAACAATATGAAGTTTTCAATTTAAAATACACTTTATTTTTGTCTTCTAATATTAATATTTTACTGAAACAACTAATCTTTGACGGAAAATTTTGTTTTATATGGAAATCGATCGATATATCAGTTATATCCAGTTCTGTGGTTATATCACATGTTATATCTGACGTTTATAATAAATATATATATACAGTATATCCTAAATAAGCATCGCCAGTAGCGCCACCACGTGGCCGTTATCTTCGTAACAAAACTACAACTTATAATAATCAGCTGTTAAACGCGTTACAAACAATTGTTTTCGATAAAAAGGCCAAAAGATGTTAAAAATATCAAGAAAAAAAAAGTTGAATGATTTGTTGTTGTGTTGTTAGAGAGGAAATCCTGGTTGGTACAATTTTGCACGGGTTTCCCAGATTTCCAATTCAGCTGCTTTTTTTGCCTAGAATGAGTGGGCTATATCTATTATAGTATAATTTAGTTGGACGGGTCCCTAAAACTGAGATTATAGGAATATATAGGACGATTGCCGAATGTGTACAAGGTATTCCGTGTTTTAATTTACCAAAAAGTGGTAGGCCCAGAATTTTTACTGCGAAATATTTGTTTAATTTAATTGAATGAATGTAATACCTTATGAAACAGTTAATTACTGGGTTAATTAATTAAATTAAATATAATTTAATATTTTCAGTTAATTTTAATTGTGTCAAAACTAATGAGACATACGTTAGTTAAAAGTTATTAATATAAAGCAGCATGTTACGGGTTCTTTAATTACAAATTTTATATTTTTTTTACAGTGGACGAAGTTGACAAGATGTTAAAATATTCTTCAGTCAAAAAACTTCCTCTAGGGAATGCTGCCAAACAGCGAAGTGTATCAAATAATACCAATACTTGTGGTAAGTTTTTTAAAATATCATTGAAGCTAAAATATTATTAAATTATTAATATTATTTGCCTAAAACCGGGCAACGATGGTCAACGTCAAATGGTTCAATTGTATCGAGTGGTCCATAATGTTGAGCGGTTTTGAATAAATTATAACAAAAAATCTATAAATCTTATTGATTTTTTTTTAAATTTTATTAAAGTTTGGGAATCTTTTTTTACACAAATAATATTATACAGATAGGAACCCACGAACCAAATACCGGACCTAAAATTATTTAAAACCCGCCAATATCGCGTGGAAAGTAGCTATTTCTAAATATTTTATTTTAATTGGTTGATTGGTTTGTCTTTGAATATCTGACTTTTTGAGTATTCACAAAAGAAAAAATATTCTTACATTTAAAGAGGCTTTAATGGAGGTAGGGACTACCAAACTACTTACATAATAATTTAATGAAAATAATACTATTAATTATTGTTTTAAAATAAAAATGTCAATTCTTGACTAAATAGCTCTGAGCGTCACTTTGCGGTCGACTTAGTTGACGTATGTTTAGGGTCAAGGAATATGGAGCTGCACTCTAAATACCGCGCACACCCTGGCAGACGCTTTTTGAACCGCTCTGCAAACCAAGATTTTTTTTCGTACTTGAAACGATAATTTTGAGTATCACAGATTATTATTTAGTATTTTTTCATGCAGACTAATATTATGCAATGGCCTGTACACACCGTTCTTAAACAGAGTATAGGTTTTTCAGAATGCCCTAAAAACCTGTTTGGGGGTATTATTTGGTGGGGTCCCATCCACAGAAAACACCCAGTTTTTAAATCGCAGCTGCTTATGCCACTTGTTTATTTAATTTTTTTTTTAACATAAATAAATTTTAAATGAGAACATAATAGGGATGTTTAATAGCCTGTTTAAATAATAGACTACTTATTTTTACCCAATAATAAGATTTGGCCCAATGTACCATGTATTTTTATTTTTATAACAGCTAAATGATGCCAAGCAATATATTCCCAAAGAACAAGAAACACATAATCCTTAAATAAAATTTCAGATAACAAATAATAAATACAGAAAAGATCCCAATAATAGAAATTTTTCAGAATTTTACATTTACACTTACAGCCTGTTTGAGGAAAAATCCAGAACTGCTTTCAACAAATGCAGTCGATGCTGTTTAACTTGTGCCTATTTCATGTTTTTAGAAATTCCCGATGTACATATGTTAATAAATGAATATCCAATTTTCCAATGTTTTTAACTTTGTCGGGAAAGCAGTTATTGACTATTCTGTTAATAATATTCATTGCTGATATAAAAGGTTGTAAATATATTCTATCAATATTTTCCAAAACTTCCGAAGAATTAAATTCATTTGCATGTTAAAGCAGCTTTTGGCATGCATTTCTTTCTAAAACCTCTCCTTGATAGTTTTTAGGAACAACATTTAAATTCTTTGGCGATTTCAGTGCATTATCTCTACCAAGGAGAGAATCTTTTTGAAATGAAAAACTACTTGTCAATTCCATATTATTATTATTATTATTATATTGCAAGTCGTGTGAAATCGGGCCTTGATGGGTCTGTAAAACTTCTGCTCGTATGTATAATCTTTGCGATGGAAAGCTCCTCGTTATCGCTATTTTTTATTCTGAAAAGTTTATCCCATTAAGGTTTAAGTTTTGCGACCGGCCTTTGCATTTTGTCTTTAAATTCCGTTATAGCCACCTGTGAAACGTGATAGTTTTGGAAGCATATTTTGCATTTTGAATGCCATTAAATAGTACATTATCTAACAGGCGGAAAAGCGCTTATTTATATCAGATCTCAGTGATCTGAGCGAAGCCGTTAATATGCTTTCTCCGCCGTGTTGTATACTATTGTATACTTTAATTTTTTTCAAGCGTTTAATAATTCCGTACTTACATTGAAATTTTCGAGTTTGTGAAATTTTATGAAGTTTAAAACCTAGGTTTTAATTAAAACTTTCCCCTGCTCCAGGTTTATACAAAATATTACAAAAAAGCTACATACCTTAATACCGTAGCTATACGATATTTAATTAATTAATTTTAGTTAATTATATGCACTAAGACTATTATATAATTCGTGTATGAGCATTAGGTTGGTTCTTATTTGACCGATGCATCGCGATGTCTAAATTTTAATCGTTATTATTTCCTTCTATTGCCTGTAACAACGAGAAGTTTTCCAGATTGAGGATTTTTGCCTTTAATGTATTAATTTTTTAAAACTACTATTAATCTATGAAGAAGTATAATTTTTTGAGAAAATGTAGAGGATAAAATTTACTTTAATTTTATATAATTAGTACTATTATTGTTATTTTATTGAAAATGGCATAAAAACAAAATATCAGTGATAATTTGTATTTAATGCATAATTAGTGTGTTTTGAAACGTAATTTTGTACTTTTCTAATGTTGGTGCTACCTAAATATCTTTTAGGCAATCTTAAATTATACAGCCACACAAAAAAAAAAGTCAGATACTTTTTACGAGACATATGTATTTCTATGTATTTTGACTCGCTGAATCCGAATCCGAGGTCAAAATAGGACCTTTCACGATTGGTTTTCGACATAACCTCAAAAAACCGGTTTTTCAAGTATAGAATGGCGAAACAAAGTTTCATTTTAGATTTCAAGCTGCTGAATTTATATATAGCATCAGTTTTATAATATAACTATAGAATCTAAATCATAACCTCAAAACGTAGTTGTTTGAGCGGTGCTCTGCAGGACTAAGTAAGATTTACTATCAAAAGTCAGTGGTATGCAGAACTATATAGAAACCATCTCATTCGCAGACAGCTATCTAATCAACTGCTCTAAATTCTACTAATCCAATAATAAAAGTATGTTCTCCTAAAAAATGATTTAAAATTCACTGATTTTGATCCACCGAGGTGATTTATGAAAAACAAACGCTAGCTCGACTTATATCGGATTCGATTCCTGAAAGTAAGGAAATCTTACTTAGTCCTGCAGAGCACCGCTCAAACAACTACGTTTTGAGGTTATGATTTAGATTCTATAGTTATATTATAAAACTGATGCTATATATGAATTCAGCAGCTTGAAATCTAAAATGAAACTTTGTTTCGCCATTCTATACTTGAAAAACCGGTTTTTTGAGGTTATGTCGAAAACCAATCGTGAAAGGTCCTATTTTGACCTCGGATTCGGATTCAGCGAGTCAAAATACATAGAAATACATAAGTATGTCTCGTAAAAAGTATCTGACTTTTTTTTTTGTGTGGCTGTGTTATTTGTTTTATAAAACTTATAAAACAAATAATTTAAGATTGTCTAAAAGATAGTTAGGGAGCACCAATATTAGAAAAGTACAAAATTACAATTATGGAAATAATGAAATTAATTTTTAGATTATTTTGGAACAATTTATTTTTAAAGAAAGTAAGGCAAAAAAATAAACAAAATAAAACCTAGATAATAAGGTTTTTGGTATTTTAAAAGTTGTTTACAACAGTCTTTTTTTGCGTCGGGAAATGCTTTTCGAAACTCTGACACAAGCTGTGCAAGAAGATTCTTTCAGCGATGGGATATCGATGACACTTTTTTGAAAATCGATCCGACTATGTGGCCTCAGGACGAAAATTATCAAAACGGTTTAAAAACTCAGCTGAGAATCGTTAACGATGCTGCCGAAAGAGCTGTGCATTTATTTGACGAGTATAACTCCATCATAACACACAAAGAAGACCAGAAGCAATTTGTTGAAAAGCATTTACGTAAAATACAAATAATTTCAGATTTCCTAAAAGATATTTAGGTAGCACCAACATTAGAAAAGTACAAAATTACGTTTCAAAGCACACTATAGTGTGCTATTATGCATTAAATGCAAATTATCACTGATATAATGTTTTTTATGCCATTTTCAATAAAATAACAATAATAGTAATAATTGAGCAAAGTAAAAAAGACCTTACGATGGACATACATGAATTATTTTTTGTTGTTTAAAACTACCATATTTTCCCTTCATTTCCTCAAAAAATTAGAATTGTTCATTAATTATTAATGATTTTATAAAATTATTGCGTTTTAAAGCAAAAATCCCCTATATGAAAAACTGTAAGTAATAATCGAGCGAAGTAAAAAAGAAAATACATGATTTCTTTTTTTTTGTTTAAAAGTAACTTATGTCCTCTACATTTTCTCAAAAAATTATACTTTTTCATAGATTAATAGTAATTTTAAAAAATTAATACATTAAAGGCAAAAATCCTTTATCTGGAAAACTTCTCGTTGTTACAGGCAATAGTAGGAAATAAGTTGGGACATTCAAATTTGGGATACATTTTTTTTATATTTTTAAAATCATCGCTAAATAAGAACCACCCTAATGAGCATACCATTTAAATTTGTATTTATTTAATTATTAATTTGTTTTTCGTATATTTTTAGCTGGGTCTGTGGATGAAGATACTTTTATGAGATCATTTGAAGATGCACCGACAATACAATTATTTTCTGCCAAAGAAGTTAATGAACACTTGAAAAATATCCAAGACATAGTTTCTGATACAAATAAAGAATGGAACAAGAGGGCTGATGCTGTAAATAAACATTTATTTAAGTTAAATATTTTCTAAACAAAATTTTTTAGTTAAAAAAAGTTCGTTCGTTAATTCTAGCAGGTGCTACAAGTTATGAAGAATTTTATGTTGGTCTTAAATCTTTAGAAATACCTTTACAAGGAACCCTTAAAGATTTGCGATCCCAAGTAGTTCGAGAAGCTTGTATAACAATTTCATATTTGGCACAAACATTAGGAAACAAATTTGATAAACCTGCTGAATTTTTACTGCAATCGCTAATAAATCTTATTCAAAATTCGGCCAAGGTTAGTATAAAATAAAATAGTAAATAGTATATACAGTGTGACCAATTGTTTGCGACTCACCCCTGTAAAAGCTTTATTTATTGTGCGATTTTAACCTAATTCGTTTTAAAGTGTAGATCTTGATAAACTGTATTTTTGGAGCAAAAAACGCCATATCTTTTTTACAAAATACAAGGGTACTATGTCAGTTTTTAAGAGTAAATTTTTAAGAATTCATATGCTACATTCGGCCATCCTGCAATGACCTCTGTCCTCAGAGGTTGTCCTCGGTTCTTCGTCGCTGGTTAGGACACCCTCATTATAGTTGGCCCATTGCTTCATATTATCCGCCGAACAAGATGTTTCCCGTGGTCCTTCGTGTTCTCCAACTTTTATGACCGTATAGCGATTATGTCGCGTAACGCCATTAATCTTGTACGGTCCTAGGAATTTGCTGCGCAGCTCTGTGAGATATAATCCTCTTTGAATTACCAACCACAGATTACTGCTTCTTAAGTCGGTCAATGACCTCTGCTGCATCTGTCGACTTTGTTGGGTAAAGCTACAAAAATTTAGTGAATAAATCAACCACTACAAACAGATGCTGATATCTCTTCTTTGTTGCCGTCATAGGCCCAAGATTATCCACATGGTATGCGTTTAAAGGTGTTTTCGCTCAGCCAGTATAAAAATAATACAATTTGACACTACTTTTTCTTTTTTTTCGCGTAATCCCGTAATCCAAAAGTCTCTCCGAACGATAGCTTCCGTCTTATTCACACCAAAATGTCGGCGTTCATGAGCTTGGCGCACAACTTGTATTTTCATTGTCTAGCAACACATCATCTTTCACTAACAACACATCATCTTTCACAACTGTTCAACATAACCGCGTAGTTTACAACGCTCCTTATCTTCTACCAACGTATGAATTTCCTCGTCTTCACTTTGCGCTTTTCCGAGGTTTACAATTAGTCCATTGTCATTATCACTTATTAGTAAAACACTTGGAAACGGACTCCGACTTATTGCATCCACATGCTTTATGTTTTTGCCTATGAAATACTATGAATACCGTGGTATAAATATTCTGTCAACACCAGGAAACATTTGTCGGTTTCGGAAAATTCATCACCGCTTTTGTCTTAATTTCTGACGGCCGCACTGTATTGTTACTCACAATATGACCTAGATATTCATTTTCCTTTCGTAAAAATTGACACTTACTCCAATTAATTTTTAACCCGTGTTTTGCCGCGACTTTTAACACTACTTTAAGTCTTTTCATTACTTCTTTGTTATTATTCGCTGTTATTGCCTAAGTCCAAACGGTGTCTTTAAAAATTAGTAATGAACGTTACAAAAGCCGTGTATTTTTGACTCTGTTCTTCGACTGGCAAATAGAAAAAACATTTTACAGATCGATCGTCATAAATATCATTGCACCTTGTAATGAATCGATTTAATCCTCTATCAGTGGGAGCAGGAACTGCAATCGTTCAATTTTCTTATTTTCTTATTAAGTGCCCACACATACTCTTGTCGTACCATTTTTCTTTTTGACAAGGATTATTGGACTACCATATTCCGAGGTTGAAGGTCAAATTAAGCCAAAAGTTGCTGCCAGTTTAAACCATTTAGAGGTTTTTGGACAAAATCAGAACTTTTTTACGACTGTGCGGTCATTAGTCGAGTGCGGAAACGACACTTTCTGCGCGTATTTGGTATAATATTGTTTCTACAAGCGTGCAGAAAGTAGTGACGCACGTTTGCAGAAAAAATAACATGAACTCACAACATGATTGTTGTGCGGAATGCTTTTCTATTTAACTTAATAAACAAAATATTGTTAATATTCAACACCCGCAAGGAATATATATAGCATATATATGCTAAGAGTGGGCGAAATAAATAATTTCTTAATTTTTACTTTCGTAACTTAATTAGTTTTGAGTTAAAATTGGAAAGAGTGCAGTTAAAACTGTTTAAAAGTTATAAGATGTCAGATAAAATGAAATATAATTGGCTTTAAATTTCTTTTAGTTAAAACAAAATACTATACTATTACTTTTAAGTTCAATAAAATCTTATTTTTAAAGAGATTTTTTATATTTATTTTACCATGGATATTTTAATAGACAAACCGGCCTATTTTCCCAATAAGACCAATACCAAATCCAAAAAAACAACCTTACCCCATTACTGATCCACCTCCATATTTTACAGTAGGTTTTGTGTACTTATGATCCTACGTGTTGAATATCATCGCTATTAAATAACTAACTTCTATTGTTAAGAAGTTCAATCAAGATTATCTCTGGCTAACTCTAACTGAGCCAATTGGTTTTTCTTAGACAAACGTGTTTTTTTGGCAGGTCTTCGGGAAAATAAATTTACTTCTATAAAGCGTCTTCTGGTGGTTCTTGCACTAATGTTTTTATAACCTTGCTCATTTTAATAAGATTTTATTCGACTCGATCGGTTTAAAAAAATTATTTTTAATTATTAGGACATCACGATTTTTTATGTTTCTGACATCTCTTTCATCATAGGGTCAATCCATATCAAATCATTATGTTCTAATAAGATATCTAATAAATTTCTTCCCTAAAACTTATTATTTTTATATAATATAAAAATTAAAAAATAAAAATATCCTATTAAATAGGACAATGGCCAATAATGTATATTCTGTAGGTATATATTTTATTTTGTAAATCATTGTTATTGTTTTTTGTTTTATTTTTTTTTTACTTTAATTCAATACTAACACAATTTTTATTTTATTGCGATGATTTTTTTTTCGGTTTAATAGTAGTTTTATCAAGGTTTTAGCGAATTAATCCTCTTTAAAATCCAAGTTTGGATGCGTCACATCCCACCATTTAAGTCAGAATTGTTAAATTTGTGCAATGTCATTCTTCCTTAGCCATTTTCTATCCACTCCTGGATGTGGGCCCCCATTCATGTTTCTCCATGCTGTCCTATGCTATCTAAAACTACCTATTACCTATTGATTTTTGATATGCTTAAGCCATCTTATTCGTGGTCTGCCTTGCTACGTTTGGTCGCCAGTGTGTTAATTATCCTGGTTCTGTCCGAAAAGCCCTAAAAGTCAACTTTCTATGATTAAATAAAAAACTATAGCATAATGAATATAATAAATATATAAAAGGTGTCCCTAAACTTAGTGGCATAAATTTAGGAAAAGATTGAGCAAGTAAAAATAAGACGAAAACCTAAATAAATATTTTTGTGTTATGTTAGTGTTACTTATCATATCGATATTTTTAATATAACTTCTACTATGGCAGACTTGGAAAGGTGATATTTTAAGAACATCCACTCAAGGGGGGGCAAGGGGGCAGCTGCCCCCCTTTTAGGTCCGACCTTTTCTTTTGTTTCCGCCCTCACCTAGCCTGATGAGAGGTGGTTGGGGTTCTTTCATTATCAGACCCTTCATTAGATACAAGGACGTGCACGATTATTGAAAAGCACATGCATTGACCCAAGGACATAAGGCTGCAATTAAATCTGCAAAAGCGTTAATGGCTAGCCGTTCCAGTTGACATCCAACTTCACCGGTCTTCACAACAATTAATAGAGAAAAACAGGAAAGTTCTGTCCTCAATTGTAACCTGTATAATTTTTTGCGGAACACATGACTTACCTCTAAGGGGCAAAAATTTGAACGAAGGCGTGCTTATAGACTTATGTCATTTATGTATCGAAGCAGGTGATTTACAATTAAGAAACCATTTTGAGCAAGGACCAAAAACGAAATAATTGAATTATGTGGCGCTTCAATTAGGGAACAAATAGTCTCAACTGTTAAAGAAGCTTATGCTTATAGCATTCTCGCTGACAAAACCGCAGATATATCTGGCAAGGAACAGCGATTCTTCGATGAAAGTACTAACGAAATAAAATAAGAATTCTTAGGCTTTGTAGAGCTTGAAGGATTTAATGCAATAAGTATTTTCAAAGCCATTGATGATTTTGTGACCAACTTGAACGTTTTTTTTGTGAAAGGGGAAATCCTCATGGACACAGGGGACTTAGTTTTTATCATCTCCTATAGTGCCGGACTTCTACCGGCTAAAACCCCTTTCATAGTTCTCCTGCAGCTCACGGGACCACGTGAGTATTACTTCATGAGCTGCATGCATGATTAAAGCTGTTGTAGTTGCTGCCGTCTTTGTTGCTGCTCTGTGATTTCGTCCTCCTCCTTTGTTTTCATGATGTCTTCCATTAGTTTCTGTAAACATTGCCAGTTTTTCTCGCTTTCGATCATTGTTTCGATTAGATTTTCTACCGTTAGGTCTGTCCCTATTGCTGTCTTTGCTGTCTTTGCTGCTTCTCTCCGCGTCGTCCTCTTCCTCATTACAGTATTTGCAGATGTCTGTATCCACTTTTTTGATATTGTGCAGATATTTTTTAAAGCATCCATGGAAAGTTCAGATTTGCGTTATCCCTGCTTAAAATACCCCATAGAGACCTATACAAAATAATCTATCGGACGCTACCGGATTCAATATGTGCATTTGTCCATGGTTTTTTCCGGATACGGCCCGATAAAAAATGTATAGGAAATTACCTATAGGCACACCATAACTTTTACATTTTCCCTATTGAGACCGATAGCAAATAACTCAATGAAGGATATATAGGGATACCCCTATAGAGCAACCATAAAACATTTGTCAAAATTTTATTAAAACCTATATGGTTCTATGGGGAAAAACTAATTTCTACATTTATGTGTATTTTCCCCATTGAAACCAATAGCAAATAAATCAAGGGTGGATATCCCTATATAACAACCATAAATCCCAACTATGGCTCCTATACATACCGATACACCCTATAGAAACACCATACATTCCGATACAAATATCTATCGGTCGGTGTCTCTATGGGGTATTTTAAGCAGGGATGTGCTCGTTTATGTCACCGTGCTTCCTGTTGTACCATATTACCAGATTCGGGATGAGCCTGTGCAGCCACCCATCTTTTTTACT